TACCTGCTGGGATTTAGAGTGGCCACCATGACTACTAGTGGTATCAGGTAATTTGCATCTAGACATGGGTACTGAAGTTGACAGAGATCAAGAGCCACATTAAACCCATTGCTCCATGCTTTCAGTATTGTGAAATGTTGCAAGATGTCTACAGCAAACAGCATCTGCTCCTGCTTTTTTTAAAAAAGGAAGCACAATGTAAAGCTGTAGGAATGGACTCTACTGGTTCAAATTTTTAAATGAGGCAGAGAGAGAGAGAAGAGAGAGAGGAGAAAATTTCTTTCTCTCTTGAAATGGTCATCATTCTTTCACTTACTTTCATGGCAAGTTAGGGCAATTAATTTCATGCCAGGGCTTTCTATACACCCCTTACATCTATTTTCAGGCTTGATTAGTGGCAATCATTTAAAGCCAAAGCATGTTCGTAGGACCAGCCCACCCTATGAGGATTGGCAACATACGACAGGTTACCCAGGGCTTCAGTGTCTTTAATACTCCTTGCCAAATACTTTTTAAAGTGGTGTATTCCCCTTTAATTTGTTTCTTCCTGCTTAAAACCATGGCCAGTATTCCTTTAAGGGCCATTTCTTCTTCCCTACATGGGGGAAAGTTTTCCCCTATTAAGAGTTTCCTTTTTGCAGTCGGAGCAATTTCACTCCAATTTTTCCTTATCTTGTGATTACAATAGCAATAATATAAAGGGGGAGGGGAAAATCGATGAGGAATTGGCTGCAGAGGAGAAACTCTTAAGCAACTCCCTCTCTTGCCAGGGAACAGAAACTGACTGAGGGCTGTTTAGAAAGGCAGTCACATGAATGCAGAGCAAAAAATTAAATGAAGAGGTGGGAGAAAAAAGCAGGAGTCACTGTACATGAAAGGGACAAAGGGAAAACTGCTAATTAAAAAAGTAATTAGTTACAAGGCAAATTTAGACCTTTGCTGAAGGGGATATACCTCTGAATAACCAAGGTGTATGTTAATTATGTTTATATATAGTGCATATTTACTATACTTGAGTAAATATAGGGTATACGTATTACATTTATGACTATACTGATAGTATCAATATAGTACAGTATTAATATACTGCTTCAATGGCTAGTATTGCCCAGTTTTTATGAATCACCATAGTAGATTATTGCAATTATTGCTTGAAGTCTAATTGTAGCCAATTTAAATCAGCTCTGGGATGGGGGTGAGGACTTCAAAAACTAATTGATACCTCAGCTGGCAAAAATATTAAACAATGATTGTGAAATTCATGATTTTAATCCTAAATAACAGCACTCTATTTTACAAGAACATCTGCAATAGCACATCATATTAATCTGTTACGGGACATTTTGTTAATTGAAACCACATGTTAAAACTGTACAATTCAATGAATTAATCAATACGTTAATTTAATAAAATGTTCTTACTTTTTAATGGTAACACATTGTATTTATTTAATGGCTTAAAATTAATGCATTGGCACTAGGCTTCCAGTCTGACCTAGCTGTGTTAAGGGAACCTGCCACTGCAGCTATCCTTTTCTGACTGAGTAAATATTTTGATTATATGGATTCCTATTTTTCTGCCAATACTGGGGATTGAGTTCAATATTACTGTTATTACACAAGACAATTATAAGGCATTTATGTGAAGGTCTTTGGGGAGACCCATTAGCCACAAGTGGGCCAGGGGCTAGACATTCCCCACATCTGGTGCAGAAAGATGACAATCTGCAGGTTCCTGGCAGTATGAGGAAGTTGAAAGAGACAATGCTTGGTGATGGTAGTTGTTTACATAGACCTATGGGCTCACTTCAGGTTTTAAACACAATTGATCTGAAAGTAATCTCAAACTTAACCATACGGTAATTAGGAGAAGAAGAAATAACTGCTTAAAATCCATCAGGATCAGAGGAGGGAGATAAAGCAATAGACAGCCTCTGGGTGTGTGTGTGTGTGTGAGAGAGAGAATGAATATATGGGAGAAACAAGGATTCATGAAGCAGGTCTGTTTCTGCTGCTGCTGTTACTGTTGCTATGTTTTTCCTTCTGACATAGTGATTCTAAATTTATGGCCTCCAAAAGGTGCCATCATTAAGAGTCCTACTTGGATCTTGCAAACTAAAGGCTATAGCTCCTGATGTTTTGCTTCTAACATCTACAAAATCCTCTCAATCCATTCCTGAAGAGTCTTCTGCAGAGGGAGCCCTGCTCCTTCTTGAGTATCTCATCAGCATGTGCCAACCTCAAGAGCTTGCATCCAGCTACACCGAACAAGATCCTTGGCTAAGTGGCTCTGACAGAACTAGCACACAGCAAAGGGAGCCAGGCAGGGCCTATTTTAAGATGGAGGAGTCAGAGACTCAGAGACAATCATCAGACTGACTCTTTTTCCCTGAGCTCTTTGTCTGTGAAACTGCATTAGCATGGTATCCACACCGTCCTCTTTCAATCTTTGTTAGTCAAGTGACCAATTTAGAGATGTGCAGAAGCAGATGTGTATGTGGGTGTGCTTGTACCTCTGCACAAGAGTGTTTGTGGATCATCAAGGAGGGTGAATTTAGAAGAATTACCATTTTACTCAGGCCAGGTACAGTTTCAGTACTACACAGACTGAGCAGCACAAACAGCAAGGGGTAGAGAATCAATGCCAGCAAGTTTGGAAAACTCAGCAGTGGCCAGAGGATAGGAAAAGATCCATCTACATCCTAATCCCAAAGAAGGGCAGTGTCAAATAATGCTTCAACTACCATACAAATGCACTCATTTCACATGCTAGCAAGGTTATGCTCAAAATCCTACAAGGTAGGCTTCAGCAGTATGTGGACCGAAAACTGCTGTAAGTACAAGCTGGATTTCGAAGGGGCAGAGGAA